ATCTTGATCATCTTTTTCCTTCGTTTCAACAACTTCAGCAAAAATTTTCCATAGAAAACAGATTTTTTCAAGTATTTACAAATACGTCATTTTATTAAAGAAACGTTTCCATCCTTTCCCAATGAACCACAAAAGCTGGTTTCAGATGATCTGTTCCTAATGAACCGGCTAAAGAAAGGAGCTATTTCTAGGATCTACAACCAACTTTTGCAAATAGACAGTACAGCTACACTGGACCACTTGAGAAATGCTTGGAGTGAAGAACTGGCTACTAACATCACTGAAGATCAATGGACTAAGGCACAAGAACTGGTTCACTCCACTTCTGTCTGCTGCAGGCACGGACTACTACAATTTAAGGTCCTTGCATAGGCTCCATCTGTCTAAATTGAAGGTTTCAAGGATGTTTCCAGGGGCTGACTCAAGATGTGATCGATGTGGCCAGAATTCTGCCTCATTGTCACATATGTTTTGGACATGTCCTAATATCGCTACCTACTGGTCTAAAATATTTAAAACTTTGTCTGATATTTTTAAAAAACAGCTCCCCCCAGACCCAGTAATGGCACTATTTGGTGTAGCTACAGTTAAAAACTTAAATAATAAACAAATTCGTGCTCTGAGTTTTATAACATTGCTTGCAAGACGCCTTATACTTCTAAATTGGAAAAATAAAGCCCCCCCAACTCATTCTGCTTTATTAAGAGACACAATGTATCATTTACAGTTGGAGAAAATTAAATTTTCATTAAGAGATAATGTTAAACAGTTTTACCTAATTTGGCAACCCTTTATAGATTACTTTAATAAGTAAAACTGGGAGGTATGGCCTCCTCCCATATCTGCCCCAAGATTATATATATGGGTCTACAGCAGGTGTTGGTTTTTTTTTGGGGGTTTTTTTGAGGTTTTGTTTTTCCCTCTCTCCCTCTTTTGAATATACTTATTTAGGATATAAATGTGTATGTATAGACATAGTTATATGATTGTTAAATAATAAAAATAAAATAAAAAAAAGAGGTGATGGAAAAAAAAGCATATGTGTGTATGTGGGTTTGGATACCTGAAACTCAGTGAGCTGCTGCATCAGCTCTTCCTGCTCCTTGCTGTTGCTCAGTGGAGGAAGGATGTTCAAAAAAACCTTCAGAAGGTCCAGATTCTCACCAGACACACTGGAAAGGGTGAAGATGGGTGTAATGCTGCAAATGTGCATCCAGCCACACACACACACACACACACACACACACACACACACACACACACACACGCACACACACACGCGCACAGCACACACACACACACACCCACACACACACACGCACCACTACAATGACCATCAAAATCATGAAAATATTGCCATAAACAGTTTATTTTGCGACACCACGAAACAAACGATAGCATAATAGGAAACGATAGACATTTTTATATCGTTATATCAAACAGCCCTAGTACCCGAAACTTTATTAATTTTAACCTAACCTTAACCTAACTCTAACTTTTCTTTAACTTTAATTTTACTTTATTGCCTTCACGCCACAGTTCAGCTGCCTGGGGACCATATGAGGGGAATTGAGATACCTCTCACACTTTAACCTCCTATAACCGTACACCAAACCAAGTTTGAACTTAAATGTAATTATTTCCCTTACAGATATTTTGACATTTGAAATATTTATTTCCTTATATACGTGTGTATATAAGGAAGTTGAGTTCCCACAGTACCAAAACAGATATGTCTCCCCACAACATCAGTTCAATAACTAGAGATCATTTGGATGATATGAACATGATTTACTGTGACAGATAAACTAATGTATTTGGCGATTAGACTCTGATGGACCATCATGGCAGAAAAGATTCTCAGGCGTGACAAGAGTTAGGATAAGACCTCTCCCAGTCTAGATGGTTGTGGTGAGGAAGATGGAGCTCTGATTGGGTTACACGAATGAGAACCTGAAAGAGGGAATGACAGAGCAGTGAGATTTAAACCACACAGAGTGGCTGATTGGCTTTAAAGAAGGCGGGCAAGAAGATGATTGGATTAGTGTAATGATGACAGTACTGAGATTCACAGCATGGGAAAGTGGCAGTGGAGTAATGAACAGGCTAGCAGCCAAACAGTCAGGAAAGCAAGCAGATGAATTATTACATTACTGCAGCTGCACTCGCAGTCTTACTACCACTCTTCATTGTGCAGCATCTGTTTACCACAGTGTAAGTAGAGGCCAGGGGTCGGCAACCTGCGGCTCTTTAGTCCTTGTAGTGCGGCTCTGTGTGGTTTGGGCAAACAAATTAGAAGTATTTAGCTGAAGTGTAATTTATTTATGTTAGTTCTTTTTTAATTGGAAGATTATTGTGATATTGAAATATAAAAATA